AGAAACAGATGAAAATCCCTGTACTCTAGTGGAAGGCAGCAGAATGCCAACAAATAGCAGATAGTATGATGGATGGTAAAAAGTGCTATAAAAATAAAGCCTTTTGTTATGTATTCCACATATATGGGGTAGACAAAAGGAAGTTTACAGTTGTTTGGAAAAAGACATGCAAGTTATGATTTTTGCAGTAACTTTATTAACTCAAAAGAATGCCACAGTGTGCTTTCGTACAATCCTTTCAGTGCTCAAATTGCCAGCCCTCATTATTTACATATTCTTGTAGTCTACTTGCTATATTCAAGCACACTTTGGCATAGCGTTCTTTATTGTCATCAATTTCTTGGCACGCCTCTCTTATGCAGTGAATCGTATAGTTATCCACAGTACGTGGTTTCCGTGAAGAGACTTTATCTTTGACAACACCTCCAAAGAAGGAGTCCACTGGGGTGGGAGGTCTGGTGATTGTGGTGGTCATGCCACTGGCTCCTCAACCTATCCACCTGCTGGGTTCACCAACTGTAAACCTAGATTTGCCCACCTCTCTATAGAGCCTCTGTGCAGATTAGAGAAACCCACAGAACAGGCATAGTTCATTTCTAATTTCTTCCAAACCTGATGCAACTTATTTCAGGGGTCATTTTATCATGAGAACTGCTGCCTGGTAATGTAACTGACATTCCACCTTTACCAGATTTCCAGGGAAACAAATCCAGAATGTTAATCCAAAGCCAAATTTTTCCATAAAGGAAGAAAAAGGGTATCTTAAATTATTTTCCAAAGGTCCAATCAAAAACATACTGATAGTACCCTGGGGGGGGGGGAGATAAAATGAAGCATTGTAAAAATAGAAGGAACAGGCATTACGGTCTAGTCTCAAGATTCTGCTCCAAACTAAATACTTGACTTGTTCCTCAACCCCCCCATTTTAACTTCACTACTCATTCTAACTTGTATTACTAGATATTACATTGGTTCTGCCCTGGTAGGAAGCATTTCAGAGGCAGAAGTAGCATCAGTTGCAGGGTTGTTTGTCTCTAGCATACTTATCTCTATGCTTTCCATACTTCTAAATAGACTGACTTCTGACACTTGTGTGGCATTCACTCCCAGACACTGTCCTGCGTAAGTTCATGATTCTACTTTAACGTCTAGTTTTTATGTACTTTTTGTTTTAGATTAAAGGCTCTAATGTGGAATTCATAGGGCCACTGCAAGGGATAATGATATCTTTTAAATTGTATGCAAAGATTTTGGCATACATTTATATGTCCATTTTTCTGCTTAGAAGACCTTTAGTTTTCATCACATTCTTCAAAGAGTCTGGTGATCCCTTAAGGAGTTAAAAATTAATGCTTTATTAAAGACATTATGCAAAGTGAAAAAAGCCAGTCATAAAGGGACAAAATATTGTATGATTCCACTTATATGAGGTAACTGGAATAGTCGAATCCATAGCAACAGAAAGTAGAATGGTGGTTGCCAGGGGCTGAGGGGAAAGAGGACCAGGGAGTTAGTACTTAGTTTAATGGGTGGAGTTTCTGTTTTGGAAGATGAAAAAGGTCTGGAGATGCATGATGGTGATAGTTGTACAATAAGCTAAATGTACTTAATTTCATAGAACTCTACACCTAAAAGTAGTTAAAACTGTACTTTTTCTATTATGTAAAAGAGTATTTTACCACACACACAAAAAGAATGACTTGTCTTGACAGCCTCAATATTTTGGTTTTAGTTGTCATCTTGACTTAGCAGGTTATGATTTAGAGTTCTCTCTTAAAATAGAATCAACTAAGCAGGACGCAATTATGCAATACTATTATATAAGACATAGAAAATAAAATGAAGATGGCCTCCTATTATAAACACCTGAATCAAAATTGAAGTTATAACCCTGTCCTTTATATTTTTAAAAAATTTCTAAGATAACCATGTTACTTTTCTACATGTGCACACACATACACATTTCTTTTGGTAGCATACCAGAAACCAAGACTTAGAATGAGATTCAAGTGCAAACCCTGCTGTCTTAACTGGGAAAGTATCTATTAGTATTTCTCTCTTAAACAGTTCTGCTCCAGAATAAGGCCACCTGTTTCTCCTTTCCTACTCTAAGACTAGCTTATCCATATTATATTCTTTTTTTCCCTCTATCTACCTGTCTTTTTTTAAAGTCTTCCCTGTGTCAGGGCCTAGATGGCAGTTTTCCTGTCTGTATGTGTTCTTCAGAAATCCACTTTATTGGGTTTACTATCTCAGATGGCCTCTTAAAACCCTTAGAAAAGTCTCTTATAGCATGGAATATTGCTTATACCAACATGCATTGGAATTCAACCCAGAAAAATAAAGTGTTAATGGAATGGAATGGAAGAATTTAGGGTGAATTTTTCCCTTTAATTTATACACATTATATAATGTAAAAAAAAACTTTAATCTTACTCATAATACTTCCATTTTTAATCCCAAGAATTAAATTGAATGAAACAAAACCATTTTCTTCTTTCAGTACCCCAGCAAGATACATGGCTCAAAATCAGATCGTTCAAGTTTCCTCCTGTGGCTACGGGAGGTGATTCTTTAAATGTTTTTTAAGAAAAAAACAATCCTGATCTTATTCTTGGTGTAGGGCTTTGGAGATTCAATCTATCGGATGTTCCTTTTCCAGAATGGGCCCCAGGGCAATTCTGGAGGAAAATGCTGACTTGGCTTTAGGAATTCCTGACTTTTCCTTTAGGTACAAAGTGGGATGCCCTCCCATTGAGATCAAACTCTGTGATTAGTTCCCTAATTTCCATAGTAGGAATCAACCTTACTTTGTAAACTTTTACTTCATTGGTTTCTATAACCTGTAGGTCCATATTTAGGAAGCAACTCAAATAGAAACACTCTAGGACATCATCAGAGAACATTACTTCAAAAAGTCAGCTCCTCATCTTTCATTTGCTAGCTTAGATAATCAAAACTTGTGGAAGATTATTTGAAGAACATATGTCTCTCCCCTCTTCCAACCACTCAATTCTTCTATCAAGATGAGTATCAAAAATTTATATTACCTCAGTCCATGACAAAATTGCCATCACAAAGTTGGCTTTTTAATATTATGCCTCTGGATTAAAGTTACTATAAAAATTTTTAAATTGCTATTAAAGAGTATGGTCAAAGACACTGTCTAGCAAAATCCTTCATAAAATATCCCAGGGATTCAATCTTGGAATAACTCTGCTTTGGCCTAGGAATGGGTATATTGGATATAATGAAAATTACATATTTGATTATGTCTTATTTTTCTCCTTGGCTACTATGAAACTCAGAGCTAAATATACACACAAATACATACATATGTAAACAAACAAATATTTTAATGTTCTTCAATTCCAGTTCCCTACTGAATTTGTTTATAACCTTTTTGTTTATATAAATGGTACAATGTAATCTTTTTTAAAATTTCTAAATTACCACATAATTCACTACAGATGTTCCTTCTTCCTCGTTGATATTTTTTATTTGCTTATAAATTGGACTCAATTTCCAATTTAAGAATCAGATCATCAGTGCTAAATGCAGTTGTGGCAAAAATCACCAAACTGAAAAGTTTCTGTGGTTTGAGAATACCCAGGCTAACTGGTTTTGGAAATAATTAAAATACAATTAAATTTTTGTATTGCTAATAATTATGCCTCAAGATGCAGAACTTCACAGTGGTAACTTTCTGCAGGAGTGAAGGCCTAGAGTGAGGTTTGTTTGGAGAAAGAACTAACCACCTGGTGCTATGGCATGTTAGCTTTTTGTTGTTTGCAGGGATATACCGGCACTGGCTCTTACCCACTCATGAGAGCTAACTGTTGAAAATTTCATGGGGTTTTGAGTTAGCTAATGTCAGGTTGATAGCTTAAAATAGGCCATGGTGGGAATATTTACACCATGAAAATTGGCAAATGCTTTAAATTAGCCCCTCCATCTCCAGAGAGTTGGTTGTAAGACATTTATCAGTCCACTGTTTGTCTGGCTTATCACTCACAACAGCAAAGAGATAAGACATCTCTATCTTCATTTTATAAAGGAGAAAACATATTTTAAGAATCCTTAGGATTTAGGGAGAAATCATAGAGGGTACCCCTAAAAATTTTTTTAAAAAGAAGAAAACTGACAAAACAGGAATAGGTACAGTACTCACCCTAAGGGCTGTATTCAGAGAAGACAGGCCCTATTCAGTGGAAGGCAATCTACAGATATTGCCAAACTGAGGTTCAGACAGCTGTGAGGAGGACAATTTCAATGAAAGACTAAGGGACAAAACAAAAAAGCCTCCAGGGGACATTCAAGGCTCTTCCACCCTTTTTCAATTTCACCCCTCCCTGCCTTGGTTGGAGGCATCACATTCAACAGCAGAAAATTCTGCTGCAACCACCACCACCATTCCTCCCCCACCCCCCGCCCCAGGAGGAAGCATTTAAGCTTGAAGGCAATAATTGGGGGCATGTTTCCCAGCCTCCTCCTTCTGGCTTACGGATTCCTGATTTTACCCAGGTAGGAGAAAGCAATGTGCTCAGGGAAGACTCCCCACTTCCAGAGAATGAACAGTGATTAGTCTAAATCAACCATGGTAATACATTCCCTGGTATCTTAGATTGGTTTAAAGGTGTGCATGCATTTCACTAAATTCTAGCCAATGGTCTCTGTAAAGATATTTGTTAGTCCTTCTGCAAAATTGAAGATGTATGCAAGAGAAACTTTCCTTCTTGCCTGGTTTGTCTTTGCATGCGAAGACATAATGCTGAGACCAATAGCTGCCATCTTAGGACCACAAAAAGATATTGGAAAAACCGATCTCATGTCCTTATATTATTAAGCCAAAAAACTAGCCCTAAATTATCTACCTCAAGGCTTATCATTATATGGGAGAAAAATAAATCCTATTACTTAAACTCTCTGTAGGTACATATTTTATAACTTGCAGCCAAAAACCATCCTAACCAATATACCTTATCATTTCATAAACTTACCCCAAATTGTCCTTGAAGTTGCGGCAAGAAAATCTTATTGAAGGCACAGTGGGAGTAAGGGCATTGACTGATGTTGAAGAGTGTAGTGACACTTTCCTGGCATTCTTCAAAGTCTCCAGTGCCCTGGATTTCTAATTGATTGAATGAAAGAGGCTTCCCAAATTTCCAGGTGCAGGTGCTATTGTAAATGTCACTTACATTCATTACCCTCCTATATCCATGGTTAAAACATGGGTCCTGGATGATTCCATTTGTAGCCTGCGTGGAAAAATCACTTGAAAGGGTCATGTGCAAATGCTTTGGGTAAAAAAGCACCAGCCTGACTTCATTAATGTGTCAGAATTGTACAACTTCCCAGCACTCAGCATCGGCATCAGTATGCCTCTGTCCTGCCTTTATCAGCCTTGGGAATAGTCAGATTTATATAACAGGCACTAGAAATGGTATCAGATATAAATAAACTTTCTCCAGTCATAGAAAGCTAATTCAGCTCAGGCTGGGCCCAGAAATGCCATTGGTTTGGAATGTTCCTTAGTGCTTAGTTCTAATCACCTAGTTAGAAGCAGATTAAAAAAAAAAAACCAGAAAGATTCTCAAAATTCTGAGTGGGGTAGTTTTTCAGGAGTAGATCTATGCCCCCACCTCCATCTCCAAGCTAAAAATCAGAAGCTCCAAGATTTGGAAGTGCTTTAGATTATTTAAACCAGGGGCATCAAAACAGTTTTAACCCACAACCCAGTATGTCCAAGCAAAGAAAGGGACTGCTGTGGCTTAGAGGCTTAATGGAGACTTGGTGCTCAGTAGGCATCTCTCTCAGCAGCCCCCACTCCAGTGGAAGTCATCTTATGGATAGTGCTTCTGAGAACCAGAGGGTGAGCTTTGAAGGAGAGCAGATAACTGGCCTCCTTTTAGTGGAGACAGGGAATAGCTGGATATGACATCCTTGCTCTGTATTTGTTTATCAGGGTGTGCCGGGTCCTCACATAATTGCAAGTATGTTTAACCTTTCTTGCTTTCAAAATGCAGAAAGCATGAAGGGACAAGATTTGAAGTACTGATCCATAAACTTAGTGTATTCCCCGAAGCCTTTTTTCCTCCCCTCCTCTCCAGGTTGTTTCCAACAACCCTGTTTTCTGCAGTTTGTAGGAGATGGAGATTAAGAAGTGATAAAGAGGGTATAAATTGCACACACCCTTCCCTGTAACAATACCCTCACATGTAATTTTCATTGTCAACCCCAAGACTAGGGGTGAGAAATTATTTCCCAAGAAAGTATCTGAGTTGTTTCCTTGGAGACAGTGCAGTAAACAAATATAGTGGGTGATGTCTGGAGGGAACAATTCATAAGGATCTACCAGATGTACTTAGATATGGTGCCTAAAAAAGTTTGGAAAGTACAGTAACCAACTTCAGATCAATTACTGAAGCAGAGAGAGAAAACAACAGGATGTGGGGGCTGGTGGCCCAGATGTGTGCAGGGTAGGTCTGGATTCAGTTATACTTGCCTGAATGTCCTTGGCTATTTTCTGCAAGAGTGCTTGATCCTTCCCGTAGCACAAGAAACTGTGTGTGTATACACTGTAGTCCTTGCCATACAGACGAAAGTACAGAGCATTTTGTGGAGACTCGATTGTCTGGTTTTGGGGCACAAAAGTGATTTGTGTAGAGGCTCCCCCAAGGTCTAAAGCTCCATAAGTTTCCTGACTCTCGTTGTCATTTGGCAACAGGTTGAGCCACCTCAGTTTCTGAAAGAGAGTAGTTACCGGTAAGTACAGTATCCAGGTAGAAGTGTCTGGATACCTTGTGTCTTAAACTATTTCTTAAACTCAGGAACCTCCTAATGTGAAGGAGCAGGGGCTTGAGGGTGACACAAAGCTCACTAGAGGTTCCTGAATCCACATCAGATCAACAGGAAGAAAAGAGGGGCCTCAAACACAAAGCTCAGACTGCAGCAATATAGAAGCAGTACAGTGTTGGTGAATACAGGATTTGGGGCTGGAAAACTCAAGTTCAGATCCTCATTCATTTGCTCTCTAGCCATGTAACCTTGAACAGAATAATTAACCTTCTCTAGGCCTCAATTTGTGACTAAAATAAGAGAACACTTCACACGGTTGTTCTGAAGACTAAATTATATAGTACATGGAAAGTGCTTAGTATAGCACAAGGCACATAGCACTAGGCAAATATTAGCTATTCTAATTTTTAATGACAGATTTTTTATGTCTCTCTAAACTGAACATATGGCTTCCTTATTCTCCAATACTAAAAGTTCTTTTAAGAGAATTATACCTCTGATGACCCTTGCAAATGTGGGGATAAATTAATTTGTTCACTTATCCATCATTCACTCTGGCCAGCAAACCAAGTATTGCCTGAGATAGCAATGGCATTGGCTTCTAGGGAGCCACTCAATGGATGCTGTCAGATAATCAATTACCTTAGTGAATTTTCCCAGCAGATAGTTGATAGTAATCCAGCCATAGGCACCTTCCTCTCCACCAGAGATGATTCTGGCACCCCTGAAGTCAAAGGGGTAGTTGTTGAGGACATCTCTCACCACCGTCAGGACATCGTTTGCCAACCATTCGTTTTCAAGTCTGCACAAAGGGAAGAGCTGAGGTTACTGGTTTTGTTCTAATAAATGCACCTATCCATTTCAGCCATAACTTCCAGTCAGTTCTCCCAGGAAGTGCATCATAACTCACTGGAATAAACAGAATGATGGAGATACCCACCCATGGCTGCCTGAGGGGGCCTCCTTTTAGGTGAGGCAGAACTGTTTTCTTGTCCCATTCTCTCCAAATCCAAATTCTTTCAATCTTTAATAGGTTTGTCTTCCTAAAATAACATTTTTGTTGTTGTTTCCTGGCTCCAAAAACTTATCAAGGTACTTTTAATTACTGTGGTGGTCATGGCTGGGTATTTTCTGATCACCACACTTGAAACTAATACCGTGATTTTTCAGACTATAAGATGCACCCCCCAATTTGGGAGTGAAATGGGGGTGCATGTTATAGTCTGAATGTAGCTTAACTGGCTCAATGTGGGGGGAGGGGGGCAGTGGTGGAGCAGGATCACAGATTATTAAATATTTTACTACATTTTCTGCTTTAAAAATTATTTTCTTATTTTCCCCCTCTAAAACCTAGGTGCGTCTTATGGTCCTAAAAATATGGTATGTCACAAGCCATTGCTAGTGACTACTAGCTGGTTACATATCCAGGCTCTGCTTGAGGTTCTTAATTAGGTCTATCACAGACACCAGGTGGCAAATGTCCTAGGACAGATGTCCAATGCCCATTGGTTCTAGACTTGGAAAAAATCTCCCTCGAAAAAATCTTCCTCACATTGTGCCTCAGTTCTCTGGCATGTCTGAGACCTTGAGACCTAAAGGAAGAATCTTGTAGAATTGTCATAATGAAAATGGGATGCCATTGCTTCCAAGATATAGAATACTCAACACTGAGAGCCTCAGGGTTAGAGGATGCTACCTTCCAACTGGCATGAGACTCCTGTAATTCATCTGTTTGAATTCCATACCCTACCAACTGGCCCCCTTATCCCTAGTTTTCCTTCTCTCCAGCTCACCTTCTCTGCTACTTGGCACCAGTTGTGTAACATCACTTAATGGCTTCTCATTATCTCCAGATAAACTCCAAACTCCCTAGCATGCCCTACAAGGGACTATGTGATCTAGAACCTGCCCTCTCAGAATCCAACTCAGAATCCTGACTTTACCACTTACCTTACCAGGTGTGACCCTGGGTAACTTACTTAACATCTGTAAGTCACAGCTTCCCTACCTGGTTAATGATAGTTAATAATGCCTCTTACTCCATAGGGTTGGTATGATTAAAGCATAGTGAAAAGAACACAGTAAAGGCTCAACAAATACAAGCTGCTAATATTATTACTACTACTACTATTATTTCTATAATAGTAATATGTTCTATCTATAGTCCTACATTCTATCTATAGTCCTCTGAGCATGTCCTGGTCTCTTGCATGTTCTTGCCTTTGCATTTCTATTAGAATGCAAACCCCAGGAAGGCAGGGACTTTGTCCTCTTCACTGTATCCCCAGCACTGAAAATAGTGCCTGAAACATAATAGTTGTCAAAAAAAAAAACATAGGCTATGGAATACACAATGTCTGCTCTGCCTTTAATGCCCCTGCCCACCCTTCAACTCCTCCTTCATGATTCAGTTCTCATGTCCCCTCCTCTGGGGAATCCTCCTGACCTCCTGCCATTCTAGGCAGGGCAAAGTGCACTCCTGTAGCAGCTCTGAGCAGCCTTCTATTAAAACACTGATCACCCTGTCTTGAAACTCTGATCTCCTTGAGGGCTGAAATAATTGAGTTGGTCAAAATTTTTGTTTAGTTTTTTTCCATAAAATAAAAGACACATTTTTCATTTTCATCAATAACTTTATTGACTTTACTTCTTGATATTTTGAGTATGTCAGCTATCTCCCAGACACTATAATGTTGATTGTTCTTACTGAGTATCTTGATTTGATTGCTATCAACTTCAGTTGGTCTGCACAACCATGGAGCATTGTCCAGTGAGAAATCCCCAGCACAAAATTTCACAAACCTCCTTTGACATGTTCAATCAGTCACAGCACCTTCTCCATACACTGCACAAATCTTTTTTGTGTGTTTCAGTTGCATTTTTATCTTTCTTGAAATAATAAAGTATAATATGCCAAAAATGTTGCATATTTTCTTCCATTTTAAATATTAAAATGACCATGCAAAAATGTACCAATTTTGATAAGTTTTTTTTAATGTGTGCTTATATGACAGCTGTCTCAATACAATCTAACAAAATTATTTTGGATGATGTTAAAGACAACTAAGCATTACTAGAGCCATCTTATGGAAGAAAAACCAAACAAATGTTCTGGCCAGTTGAATACCTACTTCCATATCCTCGGACAGAGTGGTCAGTCAGTACATGCAGCATGAATGAATGAACAAACAAGTGAATGAATGAATGAATGAGAAAATGAATGAATGAATCATAGTGCACACAAATGCTAAGAAGTAACCAATAAAGATGTGCTAGTTGTGAATATTTATATCTTGGGACATCTGTGACTCTCCTTGGGTCATACCTCTCTCAGAGATTGAACAGCTAAATCTGTAGCCCCAAATCCCAGAGTATACTAGTTCTGTCCAAAAAAATTCTAGCCATTATTAATATAATGAGGATGGTTTGCATGACATTGATATAACCTGGCAGTCAAGGAGAGTGGACTGGAATGAGCGTGTGTGAACAAAGACAGCTTCACTGTACTAGTCAGTGGGGGCAGTAGATGCTGTTGAGTGAGCATGTGTACTGTGTGGTTGTCCCATTCAAAATGACTGAGTGAGTAGAGCAATGAACCTGCCTCAAATTTTCCATTAAGCTTGACCATTCCTCCACAGACATTATTCAGATGGTTCAGAAGGCTTTCTGGGACAATGCACAACAATGCACCCACTCATGCATCACATCTTATGCAGAATTTTTTGGTGAAAAATCCAATCACTCAAGTGACTTAGCCTCCCTACAGCTCAGATTTGACATCCTATGACTTCTGGCTTTTCCTAAAACCAAAATCATCTTTGAAAGAGAAGAGATTTCAGATTGTCAGTGAGATTCAGAAAAATATGATGGGGCAGCTGATGGCGATTCCAACAAAGGATTTTGCAGAGTGTTTTGAAGAATGAAAGAGACACTGAGAAAACTGTGTGAGGTCCCAAGGTTCCTACTTTGAAGGGGACTAGGACGTCAATGCCCTATGTACAATGTTTCTTGTATCTTTATCTTCTTCAATCAATGCCCCTATTTTTCATATTACAAGTCTGGATACTTTCTGGACAGGCCTCACATAGACTTGATCTTTCTCTCTTTGTGCCCTTGCTCCCTTGAATTTCCTGGGGGAGAAGGGCAAATGGGAATTTTTAAAAAACATACTTAAACTCCCAAGGTAAACATACTGAATTTGGGAGTTTTACCCACTTACTGACATTCAGGATTTTTAGAATTGTAGGTGTTTGGGAAGTGTGGCACTCTCCCTACACATGGCTGTACCTGAGCAACCGCATGCCTGCCGTAGCTCCCAGGTAAACAGGAGTCTCTTGGTGCTGGGATACTGGAATCACTTCCTTGGCTCTTTCCATGCATGTAGTCAGATAAATGCCCAAGTCACTTGTTTTGTGAGCATATTGTGAGATTCCAGGACCTAGAAAAAGATGTAGAAGCAGATGACAATATATTTTTTTAAGTATAGAACACACTGTGACAATATTAGAGCAAAAGACAGGTGTTTTCTAATAAAATCCAAGAAGACAATTTCTTAATGTGATTATGCATGAATTTGTTCTACTTAGAGGGTAACTTACTGAACCAGTGTTGGCTTAGTAGGGATTTATTTTCAGACCTCAGGCTGGGTCTGTTCGCTGTTCAGTAATATTGCCACTGGATGGCGCAATTTTCACATGCATTTGCATAACCTTTCTAACAGGTTCAGCTATTAATGGGAATTTTATAGGTAACTACTCTATGTAGCTACTTTTTGATGTTTCTTCCACAAAACTATAATTAATCACACTAATTCCTAGATCTAAATGGATGGAGATGACATTTAAAACAAAACTTAAAATAAGCACCAGGCACGTTAGCTTTTACTGAAAAGATTGGAACTGCAACTGACTAGCTCTGTGATCAGTGATCAGAGCTAGACCCCTAACATTTCTGAAGCAAAGTTTCTTCCATGTCCCCTCAGTGATTTTTCCACTCTGATAACCTACCTCCCTAGAAATACTGTTTTTCCAGTATTAGAGCAAAACTAATTGTTGCTATGGAAAGGATTAGAGCCAAGATTCCTTAAGCTTTGAAGTTAACACTTAACAACTTCAGTTCACTTTAAAATGAACATCCACACTGTCAAATGCTTTACGGTGATGATTCGGTTTATAGATAATTATCCAGATATGTTATCCTTATCATTCACAGGTTTTTAAACAACCCGGTTACTTAACTGTAATAAGAAAATCAGCTCAAGGTTATCAACTAGTTGCTTTAACTTAAAATGTCTGGCCTTCAAGATGGGTGGGGCCCAGCATCTGTGCTTTAACAAACCCTCCAGAGGGTTCAAATTTAAGAACCACTGGCTAAGACATGGGTTTGAAGTTCGGCAGCTCTCCCTTTGAATTCCCGTTCCATCACTTACTTGCTCAAGCAAGCTGAAACAAGTGGCATGACATCTCTCAACCTCAGTGCCCTCATTTTAAATAACAGCTATAATTATACCTACGTCAAAGGGAGATTGTGAAGATGAAGTAATATTTTTAGTACTTAGGTTGGTGCACAGCACACAGAACTGTCCTGTTGATGGGAGGTACTATTACTCAGTTATTTTTAAGTTTATGCTTCAAGAGCTCAATGATTTAATGATTTTGAATTATTTTTATAATGACAACAAAATAACAGTAGCAGCTCCATAATGTTCTTCCCTTGACTTGCTTTCCTTCATGTCCTCCACTTGCCCTATGTGTATCATGTCCCACTGTCCCCCCTTCCCTTTTCCTTCATCTTACCTTTTACCTTGCACTCGTATATCTGATTCACGACCCCTGTGTCATTCTCCTTTTCTGCTGGCCACTTATAGATGTACAAAGTTGTGTGAGAAGAGCCTGCATCCAGCACAATCCCATACTGAGGGCAAAACAAACCAAGAACTTATCAGCATTACATTGTTCTTCTCCATATTCAGCTTGCAAGAGAAAAAAAAGACAAAGACAAGAATTTTCAAAAATATGAGGAGAAACTACTTTAATTCAAGAGGAACATGGAACGTAGGGGTAGGGCAAGTTGCCTAGAGTTGCCCTGGTCACAAGATCCACCAGAAGTCCAGAACTTCCACCACTCTAGCCTAGTGCCTCACAATATTGGCTGCACATTAGAAATATCCAGACCTTGCAAGGGTGGGGCCTGAGCATCAGTTTTGTTTGGAAGCTTCTTGGTGGTTCTAATGTGCAGCTAGTTTCCGAACCATGTGCTGAAGTGGTTGAGATAATATGGAGGGAATACAGAGCCATTAATTTAGTAATTCCCAAACTGTGTCCACATAAAAAGCATTAGAATTACCTGGAGAACTTCAAAGGCTACTGATGCCTATCTGCCACCACACAAATATTTATTAAATTGGTCTGTCATGTGGTTGAGGCTTTGGAAGAGAGGCATGAAAAATACTTGCTTTCTTTTTTATTATAAATATAACTATAAATTGTACCCGATAAATGTTAAGGGATATAAACTTAAACTTCATGTTTGGGGCTCTTAAGAAGAGTAGGGGGTGATGAAAGGAAGAGAGAATGTTGGGGTGGGGGAAGACAGCATGAGTTAGAACTATATGGTCAGAGAACAGGAGGAAAATAAAGTCCCCAGCTCACATTTCATGAGTATATTAAGTGTACCAGGCAGGTGTGTTATGAAGCATTTTATAAGAATTACCTGATTTAACCCTCAGAATAGTGCTATAAATTAAAAAGTATTTTTATCCCCTCTGCATAGGCAAGGAACTAAAGCACAAAAGGTTATGTAACTGACTCAAGAGACACATTTAATGGGTAACAGAGCTTGGATTTGAATCAGACTTAAGAACTTATGATCCTTACATAGAGAAATATAGGACCAAGGACTAGATAATAGTTTTCATATTGGTGCCCCCTTTTTAATTAGACTTTCTATATTTTAAAAAAATTATATTTTATTGATTATGTTTACAGTTGCCCTGATTTTCCCTTTTTGCCCCCCTCCACACAGCACTCTCCACTCCCTCAGGCAATCCCCACACCATTGTTCATGTCCATGGATCATGCATATAATTCTTTGGCTACACTGTACTTTATATCCCCATGGCTATTCTGTAACTGCCTATTTGTAGTTTTCAATCCCCTCACCTCTTCACCCATTCCCCCATACCCCCTCCCACCTGACAATCATAAAAATGCTCTCTGTATTCATGATTCTGCCTCTGTTCTTGTTTGCTTAGTTTGCTTTCAGATTCAAATGTTGATAGATACGTATTTATTGCCATTTTATTGTTCATAGTTTTTATCTTATTTTTCTTAAATAGGTCCCTTTAACAGTTCATATAATAATGATTTAATGATGATGAGCTCCTTTAGTTTTTTGTCTGGGAAGCCCTTTATTTGCCCTTTGATCCTAAATGATATTTTTGCTATGTAGAGCAATCTTGGCTATAGGTCCTTGCTTTTCATAATTTTGAATATTTTTTGCCAATCCCTTCTAGCCTGCAAAGTTTGGTTTGAGAAGTCAGGTGACAGTCTTATGGGAACTCCCCTGTAGATAACTAACTGCTTTTTCTCTTGTTGCTTTTAGGATTCTCTTTTTATCTTTAACCTTTAGCATTTTAATTATGATGTGTCTTGGTGTGGGCCTCTTTGTATCCATCTTCTTTGGGATTCTGTGTTTCCTGGATTTGCATATCTATTTTCTTCATCAAATTAGGAAACTTTTCTTTCATTATTTTTTCCAATAGGTTTCCAATTTGTTGCTCTTTCTTTTCTCCTTCTGGCACCCCAATGTATGATGTGAATGTTGGACCACTTGAAGCTATCCCAGAGGCTGCTTCTACTTTCCTCATTTTTTTTGGATTCTTTTTTCTTCTTATTCTGTTTGGTTGTTTTTGCTTCTTTATGTTTCGAATCACTGATTTGATTTTTGGCTTCACCCACTCTACTATTGTTTCCCTATAAATTGTTCTTTATTTCAATTAGTATAGCCCTCGTTTCTGACTGGATCTTTTTATGCTATTGAGGTGCTCACTAAGTTCCTTGAGCATCCTTATAACCAGTGTTTTGAACTTTGCATTTGATAAAGTGCTTATGTCCATTTCATTTAGCTCTTTTTCTGGAGTTTTGATCTGTTCTTTCATTTGGGGCATGTTTCTTTGTCTCCTCATTTCATAGCCTCTCCATGTGTGTTTCTATGTATTAGATAGAGCTGCTTTGACTCTGTGTCCTGGTGGTGTGGCCTAATGATGTAGGTGTCCTGTAAAATCCAGTGGCACAGCCTCTCCTACACCCAAGCTGGGTACTCAAGGTATGCCCTTTGAATGGGTTTACTATACACCCTTTTCTTGTATTTCAGCCTTGGTTGCTGTTGGCAGATCAATGAAAGGGATTTACCCAGGCCAGTCAGCTACAAGGAAGGATTGGCTCTGACCACTACCACCAAACTCCACCTTCCATGGAGGATTAGCTGTGCAGGAGCAAGGTAGGGTGCTGCAACATGGTCTGTCCACTGGGTGCACTGGCCCCAGGGTTTCCCAGGTGGTGAAGGCTAAGGTCATCCCCCACCTGTGTTCTACCCCAGGTCATCCTGCCTGAACTATAAAGCAATCTGAGGTGGCTGCTACTTGTACTGGGCTTGGAATTCCAGGTGAAGCCAAGCTGTGAATCTAGGCTGGCTGCTGCTGTGCCGTGCCTGGGGCTCAGTGAGGCCAACTATTGCTAGTTTGATAGGATTTAGGAAGTTGTGAAGCATGTGCCCAGGCCAGCCATTCATAAGGAAAAGCAGCTTGGATGGGCCCCTAGGTTAGGTGGGGTGGAATCTCTGGGTATTTCCAAGGCAGGTCAAACAGTGTTAGCCAGATTGATGGGGTCTCAGATATGGCCCCAGCTTGCTGGCTCTGTTGGGGGAGCGTTTAGAAAAGGGACAATGGCCTCTGCTGCAAGGCACCTCAGTTTCTCCCTGTCTGCCACTGGTGCCTTACAAGTGGCTACACCAGTGCTGGAGCTCAGAGGAAGTGAGTCTGAGTAGGTGAGTCCATGTGTGGGTTCTATAAGAGGAACTGCTTAGGGCTCCAGAAGTTCCTTCCACCAACTCAGTCCCAGCTAGTTTTTGCAGCCAGAAGTTGTGGGGACTTGTCTATCTGGCACTGGAACCCTGGATGGTGGGGGGTGGGGGTGGCTGGGACTCCTCGTTCCTGAAATATCCCTCCCTAATTTTTATACATCACATGTGAGTGAGAGACCACCCAGTTCAGCATCTGCACCTCTCGTACCGGTCTGGACAGATGTGGTTTCTACAATTCTGTAGTTGTCAGACTTCCTTTCAACTCAATTTCTGATGGTCCTGAGCGATGGTTGTTTTATATTTTAGTATTAATTTTGATGTGGTTGTGGGAGGAGCCAAGCCATGCTTATGCCAATGTCTTGACCAGAAGAGACTTGGTGCACCCTTTTAAGAACTTTTAATGAAAGAGAACTATAGCAAAATATGCAAATCTTAGCTGTGCTTCCAAATGAATTTTTGCCCATGTGGACATTGATATAAATCATCACCAAGGTGGAGATATAGAACATATTCTAGCCTCCAGAAGGCTTCTTGGTACCCTTCTTAGTTTCCCTCATGAGTAACTATGGTCTGGACTTCCATCACCATGGATGAGTTTTGCCTATTTTTTGAACTACAATAAATGGAGTGACATAATGTGCCTCTTTATGTCTGTGTTGCCACCCTTCAAGGCCAGGCAGGATCATGGTATTTATGCAGACATAAAAATATTCAAGGAACCATTGGGATGTCTAGCATGCCTTTATTCATGGGTGGGCAAGCCACACATGCTACAAGCTGCATGCCTATCTGCATGTCTCATGTTGTGATCCCTGTTCCCCAGCATGGCACCCATCATGGCACCTGTCCCCTTGTGTGTCTCTCATCATCATCACCCCCAGCAGGGAGTCCCTACCTGTTTAAGTACTAGAGAGGGACAAAGCAGAAAACTGCCAGAACATTACATGACATAACATAATTCTGTACATGTGAGTCCACTTCATGTTATGGGAAGAGTTTATCAGACCCAGTCTCAAGGCCATGTGAACACTGGTTATCAGGCCCCTCTAAGGCTATGGGAACACTGCTCCCTTAGTTACTCAGACACCTGGGTGAGGAAGCCAGACTGCCTCCACTTACCCTACAATGTCTAGTTTCTTTCATTCTACATTATGTCTCTAAGATGCATTCAAACTGTGTATATCAGTAGCTGATCCCTTTTCATTTCTGTAGAGTATGTAATCATTTTCATATACTATATGCATATTTTTATGCACTCAATTCTTGATGGACATTTGGGTTGTTTCCAGATCGGAACTATTAAGAATATAGCTGCTTGGAACATTCTTATGTATTTTATTTTGTGGACATGAGCTCTCATTTCTCTGGGGTATTTTCCCAGGAGTAGACTAAAGAATGCCCACATTGACCAATTAATATTCATCTTTGATTATACCCCTGAGTTTAATCAGGGAACAAAATGCCATGATTGAATAACAATGTCTGCTATGGGTTTGTGAGGGACACATATACCTTTTATCATCCCTGTACTGGAGACAAAAATGGAGGAAAGTAAATGGGGGGGGCAAAAGGAAAAACAGAGGTAGCACTTCTAAAGTGTGAGCTAACTCCTCTCATCGCATTTTGTGGCTCATTTAAACTGTGGACCTCCAAGTGTGGTCTTCCACTGATGATGCTTAACTGAGCGCTGTCCCTCCTAGGAGCATGCCTGTGCCTTTCCATTCCCCCTCTTCTTTCCTCCATCAGCATGCATCTCCTAAACTCAACAGGTCTCCACGAGACTTGCAACCAGGGGAGCAATAGGCAATGGCAGCTTGTCCCGAGCTAGCCCG